TCTTAGTCTTGGAAGGGGGTTTGCCCTGAGGGGACCTGACCACTTGCCTTGATGTCTCCTGGGCTAGCAACTTGCTTGTTCTTATAGTAACCAGTCAGACTGCCATTATTGTTTTGTATTTTTACTGTCGGTCTTTCTTTCAAGAAGTATCTTCTGTTCTTCTAGCTGCTCCAGGCTGGTCTGCTTGTCATTTCAAGTGGAGTTTTCTGATTCGGGATGGGGGTTCAGGATTCCACCTTTGGTCTTATGTTATGCAGAGGCTCCACAGGAAGCCTCCATCACTAGGCACGTTGTAGCCACCATTTCGGTATTCCAATCAGTTATAGGCAGAAGACAGACTTATAAACTTTCTATGGTGATATTTCTGGATGTTCCTTTCTCTCTCCCGCCAGTGTCAATTTTATAATGATATGTAAGGGAAAATAAGATTTAAAAGACAACCAAGCATCTTACCATTGTTTCCCCCCTTTTGCCCATTCTAAGCATGTCCCAATCCCTGTATCCCAGAACCCTGTTGTTCCAAGGTTGTGCATACATCATTATTTCCCTCTGGCCCACTTAGCCCATGCAAACCTGCCTAATTGTTCTCCCATCTGCCTTGTTCTTCCATTCTCCTCCCCCTTCTTGTGTATTGCTCCCACCCCCAGCACCCAAACTATCTTGTGTCTATTCCCTGCCCTGTGTTCCACCTTCCCCTCCCTCCCTCACCCCACTCCCCAACATCCCAGTAACCAGCAAAGTATTCCCCTCCCCCCCTTTAGTATGGGTTCTTTTTCTTAGTCTTTTACAGTAGTGGTCCTATGCAGTATTTTTCCTTTTGTGACTGACTAATTTCACTCAACATAATGTCCTCAAGGTTCATCCATGGAATGCAGTGGCTTGCAGCTTCCTTGTTATTCTTTAAGGTAGCATAGTATTCCATTGTGTGTATGTACCACAGTTTGTTTATCCATTCTTCAGTTGATGGGCACTTAGGCTGTCTCCATCTTTTTGCTATTGTAAATAGTGCTGCTATGAACATTGGTGTGCTTATATCTACTCTTGTTATGTCTTGTATTTCTTGTGGGTAAATACCAAGTAGAGGAATTGCTGGATCATAAGGTATTTCTATTTCCAACCTTCTGAGGAAGCGCCATATTGCTTTCCAGAGAGGTTGGACCATTTTGCAATCCCACCAGCAATGCAGAAGTGTCCCAGTCTCTCCACATCCTCGCCAGCATTTATTGTCCTCTAATTTTTTTTATCTTTGCTATTATTGCTGGTGTGAGATGATATCTCGTTGTTTTGATTTGCTTCTCTCTAATGGCTAGGGATCGTGAACATTTCTTTATATGTTTGTTGGCTGCCCAGATCTCCTCCTTGGTGAAGTGTCTGTTTATGTCCTGTGCCTATTTTGTAATTGGGTTATTTGTCTTTTTCTTGTAGAGGTGTTGTAGTTTCCTATATATTTTAGAAATGAGTCCCTTGTCTGATGTGTCATTGCAAAAGATTTTTTTCCCCATTCTGTGGGTTCCCTTTTTACTCTTTTGGTGAAGTCTTTAGATACACGTAAGTTTTTAATTTTTAGTAAGTCCCAATCATCTAGTTTGTCTACTTTTGTTTGTGTAGTTTTCAAAATGTGTGGTAGTCTGTGTATTCCCTGAATTAGAGCCCTCACATTTATCCCTATTTTTTTCATTGATGGCCTTCATAATTCTGGGATTCACATTTAGGTCGTTAGCAGTCCAGTGCTTATCCTACAGTACCTCACTAACCCATCTGAACCACAAGGTCAGCAGTTCAAGTTCACCAGCTGCTCCTCAGAAACCCTATACATGATGGCTATGGGTAGGAACCAACTCCATGGTTTTTAACAACAGCCACAGCCTTGTTAATATTTTTTTTTTCTTTTTGGTTGCTGCTGGTTTTTAATTACTTTTTCTCTCTTTATTATTATTGCTTTTCTCTGTTGCCTCCTTGTTTGTTTATTCTCTTTTGTTTTCTTGTATGTGATGGGAGGGAGCAGAGGGGTTTTCTCTTTCCCATCCAAGAGGAGACAGCAACTGTGCCCATAGAGCCAAGCCACAGCCCTACCCTCTGTAGCACCACCCACTGAGCAAGAGCCAGTACTAGCTCCTATGTCAGCTGATCAGTGATAGACAGTAGGCAAACGCACCCTAAACTGAGGTGCACGAATGGCAAACAAATATGGTGTACACACTTCCATTCTTTAACAACACCCACAGGAGACAGTTGGTGAGAGCTTAAGAACACACCAACATACAATCATCAAATTCAAATACAACAGCCCTGGAAACAACAGGCAATTTTAGCTCACACGAAGAAACAAGAGAATGGCTCAAGCAAATGACCAAGATGCAGAACCAGAAATCATTTCTGAGGAAGAAAAGATAAATGGAACTAAGAATTCAAAAGAATGATACTTAGGATCCTTTAAAGGATTAAAAGAAAGAGGGAAGCAAAGAGAATACCAAAATAAAACTTTAGAAGAATTCAGGAAAACACTATAAGATCAAGCAGACAAAATAAATAGAAATTTTGAAACAACACAAAACGTACATTTAGAAATCCCGAAGATTAATATTAAGATCCTAGAAATGGACAATACTTCAAAAGGGCAAAGGAGTAGATTTGAAACAATGGAATCCCAAACTAGTGAGCTTAAAGATAAATCTCAATGCTAGTATGCTAGAAGAACAATTAGAAAAAAATCTAAAGAAAGCCTAAGGGTTATGTGGGATAAACTGAAGAGGAACAACTTATGGGTGATCAGAATTCCAGAACAGGAAGAGACAGTAGAAAGCATAGAGAAAATTGTTGGAGAATTGTTGGAAGAAAACTTCCCTACCATGAAAGATGGAAAAGTAAGCATTCAAGAAAAGGAACAAATCCAAACAGGATAGATCCCAAAAGAAATTCACCAAGATAATATCATAATCAAACTCTCCTAAACCAAAAACAAGGAAAGAATCCTGAGAGCTGCTCTGGAAAAATAAAAAGTTACCCACAAAGGAGAACCAATAATACTGAGCTTTGATTTTTCAGCAGAAACCATGCAGGCAAAAAGGCAGTGGGATGACATACACAAAACTCTGAAAGAAAAAAAAAAAAAAGCCAACCCAGCAAACAAAGCTATCCCTCAAATATGATGACTAAATTAAGACATTTCCTGATAAGCAGTAATTAAAGGAATTTGTAATGAGCAA